CACACACACACACACACACACACACACACATATATATATATATATATATATATATATATATATATATATATATATATATGCACTTGCACAGACAGACAAACAAACAGACAGCCAGACAAACAGACAGGCAGACAGACAGAGGCAGGCCCAAACAAACACACAAACACGTACGTACATTCAATAATTACATACAACCACACACACATACACACGCAATCAAAAATATTATAATACAGTACCACAATGCTTATGATTGGTTGGAGCTTACTGCTTTTCTTATAAACTGCTCCATTACATATATATATAAATGACCATATAAACACACAAACACATATTAGTATATTTTGGCAAACAATTTATTAATTTGACTTAGAGTAAGTGCAGCACAGACACACACACACACGCACACATACACACACACGCACACATACACACACGCACACACACACACACACACACACATATATATATATATATATATATATATATATATATAACTGGACTTCATAATTTTGTTATATAATAAAGAGTAAAATTTTGAATTAATAGAACTTGGTAACGTTCATGTCGCCACTACTGTTACTACTACTACTGCTAGAAGTAGTAGTAGCGGTTGTAGTACTTCTGCTACTACTAGTAGTAGTAAAGCCAGGTGGCTGGTAGTAGTAACAAAAGTAAAAGTAGTTATTCATCAACTAATATTAGCACTGTTGGGTTTAATCAAAGTTGACGGGAAAGCCAGGGTTTGATGGAGGGGGCAAAGTTTGACGGGGGGTGTCTAAGGGTCCAAAAACTATGAATACCTGGCAAACTTTTTTCAGCTTCTCACAGAATTTTTTGCCAAATCCTCCATTTAAAACGGTGTCCTATTGTAAAAATATGTAACCAGATAATGTATGTTGACCAACTAAATTTTCAAAATAGTAGCTGGCTGTTTGACATGGAAACAACAGGAATTGGAATATTGTAGCTGAATATTAGTAATAAAACTACTACTGCTGATAATAATAATTAATAATGAAGAAATGATAATTAATAATAATAATAATAACAACGCTTGTTCTCTAACTAGAACGTTTAATGAAAACTTTGAAATTGTATTAAACCAGAGCAATGGTGACGACGAAGACGATGACGACGACGATGATGGTTTTAGAGTTTTAATCTCTCTCCTCTCTCTTTCTCTCTCTCTCTTTTTTGACTCTCCTTTTCTATCTTTCTCTCTCTCTCTCTCTCTCTCTCTCTCTTACTCTCGCTTTCCCTTTTTCTCTCTCACTGTTTTCTTTCCCCATTTTATAAAAGTGTATGCATGTGTATGTATGTGTGCGTGTGTGTGTGTTTTGTTTATTAAAACAATAATTATACTTTCATTCTGTGTCGTCAGTAAAATGGAAGACCTAATTATTTCATATTATACTTGCACTATTTATAGTATTTTGTTTATTATTAATTTGTTCATTCAATCACTCGTTCTTTCGTTCTTTCGTCCAATTATTCTTTCATTCATTCATTCATCGGTTCATTTGTTTGTTTATCCATTTGTTAATTCAATAAGTAATTAATTCCTTCATTGATTGACAGATTGATTCATTGAATGATTGATTGATTCATTCATTCATTCATTCATTATTAATTATTATTATCAGTATAGTAGTTTTATTACTAATATTCAGCTACAATATTCCAATTCCTGTTGTTTCCATGTCAAACAGCCAGCTACTATTTTGAAAATTTAGTTGGTCAACATACATTATCTGGTTACATATTTTTACAATAGGACACCGTTTTAAATGGAGGATTTGACAATCAATCATTCGTTTACTCATTTATTCAGCCAAATTAAACATTGTATGTGCAATGCAAGCAACAAATATTAAACTAAAGGTACTTATTGAAATACATATTTTGTTTTTAAATTGTGTAAGAAACCGTTTAAAAAGTCACCTCATTAATCTGTCTAACATAGAATCAGCGGCATTTATAACTGTTTTTTCGTCTTTTTCTTCTCTAAATGTTTCTTACAAAAATTTAAAATCAGCCCAAATAGGTATCGCAACATTTTTGCCGTCGCATAGACAATTAAAGCAACCAACGCAACCAGTACAGCAACGGTATCGAGACACAGAAATTGATAGAGCGGCAATTCCATGGCGCTAGATCTCAAATGAGAGCCGCCATGTTTGATCACGTGTTCGATCCAGAAAAGAACCTTTTCCTGTGACGTCATTGGTAGGTCTTTCATGGCGTTTGACATACATTTAATTGAACGCTTATACTCCGGGTTATGTATTACTTCTAAGATGTTTTCTGAAATTGATGTTGTGGTTTGATAGTGAAACCAAATGACAAAAAACAGCACTTAAGTAATAATTAATAATAATAATTATTCTCTCAAAGAATGATAATTGGTAATTTGACCTTTCAACTCTGTATCCGTGAAAGCTAGAACGTTCATCATCTTTCCGAATCCCAGTGCTTCCATCCTCAAACAGTTAATACTCTGGTCGGAAAACAACGGAATTCCCAACATCGGGACGCCGTGATAGAGAGCTTCATGCTGACCGCTAGTGCCGCAGTGAGTGATGAAGAGTTTGGTTGAAGGGTGGCCCAGGATGTCGTTTTGGGGCAGCCAGTCAAGGATTAGTAGGTTTGGTGGGATTTGGGATATTAGCTGTTGAAAGGAGAATTTTAAATTCATGTACATATAAAGTTGGCAATAATTTATAATCAGAAATAACGATGGATTTTTCGAAAACACTAACCTCTTGATCATTATCGTCTATGGCAAATTTCGCAAAAATAGTTTCATTGAAGGAAGCGAAGGCATTTAAAAACTTTTTGATGGTTTCTCTTGGCATGTAATCAGCGGTTGAACCGAATGTCATTAAGATGACGCCCGGATCTGTTTTAGGTTCAAATTTAAATTTTATTAGAATAAAAATTTCAAAAAAAGATTACTTTTAGCACACCTTCTCCATAAATTTTCCTTCCATTTATAAAGGCTAATAACTTATCAGGTAGAGGCTTAGCGGGGGAGCTTGTAATTGCTTCTAACGGGATATGATTTGGAAAACAGGGCATGAAATTGTTGAAATGATGATCGGAATCGTAGAAAAATAGTAGAGACTCTTTTAACAGGTCTTCCCAGAAATCCAAGCCGGGTGCATACTTGTGTAGGAGCGTTCGGTTTGCATTAAAACCCGATAGACTGGTGGAAAGGTAGATGGAGGTGAGGAGCATAGAGAACCTGACGTGGAATGGGGTCTCTTTGCGGTGATCGATGGAGAACCAGTGGCGGGGAAACATGGAAGGTAAGGCTGGGGATCTAGCAATTCAAAATTCAAATTTTTAAATTGAATAAACAAAAGTTTAAAAAAATTTTGCCAACCTTATTTGAAATGGAACGTAGTAAAAAGTATAACTGACAAAAGGAATGTTGAGATATTTCGGCAAGATAAGAGAACACATGGAGAACAGGAAGGGCTCAGCGATGGCCAGATCAAAGGGGACCTCCTGCAAACCTTGCAAAAACTTTTCATCCCTCATCATAAAGTCACACTCCTGGGTATACCGCGCACTCTCCTTAGCTACCTGGTTTCCGAACGTAACTTTGACGTTGAAAATTATATTCTCCAGGTACTTTTTATACTCGACAGATGTCATTCTAACAAATTCCTCATCGGTTTCTTCAAAAAAATGTGTGACAAATCCTTCATTTTGGAGTTTTTTGACGAATTTTGGCTCAAATTTTGACTCCAGGACTATATGTACTTCGTGTCCGGCTTTCAGTAGCACGGACCCAATGGCCGAAACCCTAATCACGTGACTCATGAATTGGTGGCTCACAATTAGGATTTTGTATGAAGATGTGGCACGGTACGATAGCAAACATAACCCAATAAGAAAAATAATAACGTTGTTGTTCTTTGTTAACATTTTTATTGCTATTTGTTGTATTATTTTGTTGTTGATGTTGTTATTATCATTTTTATCATCATTAATTTATTTATAATTTTAAAATATTTTTACATGTTTAAATTAAAAGCGTCTCAAAAAATTGATCGTATCCCTCACACATGGTGTTATAAATAAAAATACGTGTGCATATAGGTATGTATCTGTATGTATGTATATATAATGTATATATAATATATATATATATATATATATATATTTGTGTGTGTGTGTATTGCTAAGCTTACGTTGTATGTGTGTGTGTGTGTGTTTGTGTGCACGATGCTTCCAGATAAATGTGTCGTGTTCGTGTATATGTGATAATAAAATGTGCGTTAGACACATTGACTACAGTGAAAGCTATATAAAGCTATTTATTTTTCTCCTTCATCTCCTTCATCTTCTTTCTTCTTCTTCTTCTTATTATTATTCTTATTATAATTGTTTATATTATTCTTATTATTACTTTTATTCTTATTATTCTTATTATTATTATTATTTATATTATTATTATTAATATTATTATTATTGTTATTATTATTATCATTATTATTTTAGATTAAATAGGATTTTATAATTATTTCATTATTAATATTTGGTATTTGGAGTTAGAAAATAAAAGGACGTTCCCATTATTATTATTATATTATTATTATTATTATTTTATTATTATTATTATCATTATTATTATTATTGTTATTGGCCTACCTGAGTTAGGTGAATAGCAATATGATATAAACACATAGCGAAGCTCGGCGATCAATGTTGTAAGTCATATGGTGACGCAATGTTCTTTGTATGTGTACGTAATACGTTTTGATACACACTTTGTATGTTTTTGTGTGTTTACGCGTGTGTGCCTGTGTTTTTATGTGTGTGTATGTGTGCGTGTGAGTCTTTATGTATTGCAGTGATATCATTCCAGTTTAAATTAATTCGTGTTTTCTTGATCTTTCCGAAGCAAATGGATAAAAAAAATTTTTTGTCAATTTTAATTCTAAAATAAAATTCTAATGTAAAAGTAACATTAACATTAACCATTATATTAAAATCATAGCTTTGAAAATACAGTTAATGATAGCGTTTGAAAGATATAAGTCGTAAGTTAAACAAAGTTTCGAAGTTTGCGTATGTTGGTAATGTACAGTTTGATTGCAAGGCCAGAAGTTAAAAGGCAAATTCCGAAAAAATTCAACTAAATTGAAAATACATTGTATAAATGTTAATAAACTTTCTAGAAGGTGAAAGGATAGGTAAAAGAAATTGCAAAAGTAAAATTGTATTTAATTACTAGAAAAGTGGATTAAAATTTTGTACCCCCGTGTTGAAGAAAGATTACGTTAGAGATGTTTTTCTTTCTTATCGAGACAGCGTTTAGTGTAAAAATTATAAAGGTGCTTCAAGACAAATTTTGAAACTTGGAAAACAGCAAAAGTGACGATGGTTATAATGAGAAGGAGTACGGCAATGGTGTCGAAACAGAGAAACTGATACAAAGGCAGATCTATAGCACTGGATCTTAGGTGGCTGCCGCCATGTTTGATCACATGCTCCATCCAAAAGAGAGCTTTTTGAAGAGGTGCCATTGGCTGGTCTTTAAATACTTTCGACATCTGCTTTATGGAGCTTTTATACTTTGGATTTGTTAGGATTTCTAGAACATTTTCTAGTGAATAACAATATAAAAAATTTTTTAATAGGAATACGATAGTTTTATTGCTGGTAGAGCAAACTTTGAAAAAAACTTTTCTTACCTACTAATTCAGCTTCCGTGAAAGTGAAAATATCCATTTTTATACCGAACTCGAAGGCGATCATTCTTCTGCAGTTTTCACCCTGTTCTGCAAAGAGCGGAAATCCCAACATCGGAACGCCGTGATAGAGAGCTTCATGGATGCCGTTGTTTCCGCAATGGGTGATGAAAAGTTTAGTGGAAGGGTGGCCTAGAACATCGTTCTGGGGCAGCCAGTCCAGGATTAAAGTGTTCGGAGGTATGAGAGATTTTAGCTGTTTAAAATTTTTTTAAATAATATAAATCAGATCTTTGCGAAAATATGTCGTGCTTGTTATATGTCTAACCTCTTCATCATTTTCATCGATAGCCAGTTTGGCAAGAATGGTTTCGTTAAAAAGTCGAAAGGCCTTCAAAAACTTTTTCTTAAAAATTCTTGGCATTCCTGCTGTTGCGCCGAAAGTCATTACAACGACTCCGGGGTCTGATTTGTAATTAAAAGTTTTAAACTTGATCGTAAAAGATTTTAATTTATTACGAACTAACCTTTACCATCAGCAAGTCTTCCGTTAATAAATTTTAAAATATTTTCAGGCAGCGGCTTAGCAGGCGAGCACGTTGATCCAGCTATTGAGATGTGGTTAGGGAAAGCTGGGATGAAATTATTAAAATGGTGATCGACCTCATAGAAGAACAGCAGGGCTTCCCTCATCAAAGCCTCCCACGAACCAACCCCAGGTGCATACTTGTGTAAAAGGGTCAGGTTCCTATTCATTGGTGACCAGCTTGTTGATAAGAAGATTGTTGCTAACAGCGTGGCAAACCTAACAAAGAATGAATTATCTTTTCGAACATCAGCTGAGTTAAAATGACGGAAGGCAAAAGAAGGCAGAGCTGGGTACCTGTTGTGGTTATGTTACAATTTTCAATTAATTTAAAACTGGTGAGAGAAAATTGAAAATTTATCCGACCTGACGTTCAGGGCGATGTACTGACAAGACAGACTGACAAAAGGAGTTTTTAGATACTTGGGCAAAATGAGAGAACACATGTGCACAAGGAACGGCTCGACGATGACCAAATCGAATTTGATACTCTCAATTTTTCTTAGAAAGTTTTCATCCCTCATCATATGATCGCATTCCTCGTTAACCAATCGTCCCAAGTCAATTATCTCACTGAAGAACTCCAACGTACGGTTGAAAATTTTGTCCTCCAGAAACATCCTGAACTTTTCTGAAGTAAACCTTATAAAATCATCCGGCTCTTCAAAGAAATGAAACTGAAAACCTTCATCACGGAACTTTTTAACCAGCTTCTGATCGAATTTTGATTCGAGGACGATATGAACCTCATGGCCAGCCTTAAGCAGAGCGGAGCCAATGTCGGCTTGCTTCTTAACGTGACTGGTTATCTGAGGACTTACGAGGAGAATTCTGTATGATAACACTGAATGTAACACCAACAACAACCAGAAAGTTAATAATACAGCTGAGTTAACATTCCTCCTAAACATCCTTCTCAAATATTTTACAAAGTCTAAATTTTTTAGAAGCATTCAATTTTAGTAGAAGCATTCAATTGTAGATCTATATAACATTAAGTGAGTCAAATATGTCAACTCGTCATGCTATCAAATTTTAGTATCGATCGATAGCTAGCCAGACGATGTTGAGAGAAGATAGATGGATTGATATAGTATCGAAATTTATTCATGTGGAAAATTTATAAAAATTTATTAGTATAACACACGTGGACGATACCACACAGGCGACTATACAAGCATGCACACTGAACTCTTCGTCAGAATGTTTTATGGTAATAATTTTGAAATGATAAAATGAATGTTTTTAATTCAACTTAAAAAAATTAATTTGAAATGGTTTTTTCTTTTAAGTAATTTGATACAACTGTATTGATAATTACGAATATGCGAAGGTTTGAACTGGAAACTAGCTGAATGATTGAAAGTCGGAGATCTCTTGCATTCGAACGCCGTCACTCCAAAAGAAGAACCAAGCCCTTTATTCATTACTCCATCTCAGCATCAAATAGATAACAACATTTAAAATTGTTAGCCAGAGAATCGAATCGACGTAAAATATTTCATCACATTACGACGAATAGACTAAATTTTAATAATTCATGTCTTTCAATCTTGAAAAAACAATTTATATATGATCACGTGTTCCATCCAGAACAAAGCCCTCTCCTGTGCTGTCATTGGTTGATATTTGAAGGCGCCTGACATGCGCCCGATGCTATTTCTGTACTTGGGGTTTTTCAGGATTTCTTTGATGTTTGCTGGACATGAAAAACTATAAAATAAATTAATTTGAAAAATATTTTTTGATGTTTTACAATTAAAAAATAGTTATAAGTTTAAAGTTAATTTATACATAAAGAAATACACATGAAGATTCCAAATGAAATGAAAATTTCTTAAAAAATTACAATTTTGTAGTATTGAAACGAACTTATTAATTCCTCCTCAGTAAAAGTGAACACATTCATCGTCAGATCAATCTCCATCGCAGACATCCTTCTGGAATTATCATCCTGTTCGGCAAAGAGTGGGAATCCCAACATCGGGACGCCGTGATAGAGAGCTTCATGCTGTCCGTTGTTGCCGCAGTGGGTGATGAAGAGTTTGGTGGATGGGTGGCCCAGGAGATCATTCTGGGGCAGTCAGTTTAGGATTAGGACGTTGGGAGGTATTGTGGTCTTTAGCTGCGGTTGAATTAATTTTTAAAGCTCAATTTTTTTAAATGTTGAAATTTATTTTTTGTGAAAATGTAAAGCCGAAACCTCGATGTCGTCATTTTCGATGGAGAACTTGGCGATTATTGTTTCGTTTAGAGATGCGAATAATTTAAAAAAAATGTTTGTAACTACTCTCGGAATGAACTCTGCTGTGGCACCAAACGTCATGACAATCACACCTGGTTCTGGACATTAAAAAAAATATATGTTTTCATATTCTGATTAATTAAAAAAAATCAAAACTATTCAAGTCAAATTATGAGACTTTATTAATTTTATGAAAAAATTTCTCATTCTGTTGGAATTTTGTAGTAGAAAATTAGAAACTAAACAAACCCAACCTCTTCCATTAACAATCCTTCCGTCAATAAACTTTAAAATATTTTTTGGCAGAGGTCTAGGTGGGGCACAGGTCGACCCAGCAAGAAAAATGTGATTAGGAAATGACGGTAGAAAATTATTGAAATGGTGGTCACTTTCGTAGAAGAACAGTAAGGACTCCCTCAACAAATCCTCCCACGATTCAACTCCCGGGGCATATTTTTGTAGCAGGGTCCTGTTTCTATTCATCGGAAACCAGCTGCTTGCAAGGAATATTGATCCAAGTAACATGGAAAACCTTGCATGAAACGCCATCGTTCTCTCAGTATCCATCGAAAGAAAATGTCGCGGAAAAAATGATGGAAGGGCCGGCGATCTGTTGTGGAAAATATTGGGATTACGTAAAAAATTTGAAAAATTTGTGATTATTTCAATTGTAAAAAACAAAAACAAAAAAAAATGAATATATATATAAATTGTCATTATTAAGTATGTGTACAGCGACTAAAATGGCCCAACCTGATGTGGAGTCCGTTGTAGGTGCTTGCCTTACTAACGAATGGGAAACTGAGGTGTTTTGGCAGGATGAGGGAGCACATGTGGACGATGAATGGCTCAGCGAGGACCAAATCAAATCCGAAATTTTTTCTTTCTTCTAAAAATTTCTCATCTCTCATCATATATTCACATTCCTGGTTCACCATCTCGCTGTACCAAGATAACGTTGAAAATTTTATTCCCAATGAAACGTTTGAAATCTTTTGAGGAGAATCTTATAAAATCGTCCGGCTCTTCGAAGAAGTTCAACTTGAATCCTTCATTTTTGAATTTTTCAACCAGTTTTTGATCAAATTTTGACTCAAGAGCGATGTGGACCTCGTGTCCAGCCTCTATCAAGACAGAACCAACGGTAACTTGCTTCAAAACGTGGCTGACCAATTGCGGACTTACCAATAGAATCTTTTAAGGAGTTGAAAATTCTTGCAAAACTGATAAAACTGAAATAGATAAAATGAAAATAAATTTATCTTTTTGAAACATTTTGTGTGGGGAGATATATATATATATATATCTTTAACTGCTTTTATTCAGAGTTTGTTCAATTTTTTCAATTCATTAAAAAAAATTTTTTTCAGGATAGCTTTTCAAATTGAAAATTGGTTAAATATGCTAAATTTTCAGGCACACATACACGCACAGAGATATCCAAGAACAAAATGACAGAAATGTGTGTGTGTGCGTGCGTGTATGTGTGTGTGTGTGTGTGTGTGTGTGTGTGTGTGTGTGCGTGTGTGTGTGTGTGTGTGTG